TTGTAGGTCTTCAGCACCTTCCTTAACATTCCAGTAACCACCCAGGAGGAACAGAATTAATGGTGGCAAGACGCAGATAGCTCGCTCGGGAGGATGACAGTTTCAGACTTCCTACGATTGATGAATGAATCTTTAATTTATTGCACAGTGACATTTACACCGTGATCTCACCCTGATCTGTTTTAATGAAGTCTTTTCCATTTACCTCTGTTAACAAACAGATTAATTTGATGAAGATTCTATCCCTCTCAGCAATTCACATTCTCATTAATCCTGCTTTGGTATAAAAGGACAGATCCCTTATTATTATTACAGTTTGCGTATCCGATTCCTACGAACCAGTCTGCTCCTACCAGTAACTCCTGTTTGTTCTCATACAATCCTGCTCTTCCTGTGGCAATCTGTATTTCACTCTGAATACCCAACTGCCCTCCCATATTCCCGGTTTATCCCGTTTCATTTCCCCAAGTGCTGTATATTATTCCTCTGGCTGAATCTCTAATGGTCCATGTACAGGCAAACACTCAGTGCTATCAGTGAGTCTCTCCATGGTACACATACAGGGCACACATTCAGTGCTATCAGTGAGTCTCTCCATGGTACACATACAGGGCACACACTCAGTGCTATCAGTGGGTCTCTCCATGGTACACATACAGGGCACACACTCAGTGCTATCAGTGAGTCTCTCCATGGTACACATACAAGGCACACACTCAGTGCTATCAGTGGGTCTCTCCATGGACACATTCCTTACACTACAAAACTGGCACACACTCAGTGCTATCAGTGAGTCTCTCCATGGTACACATACAGGGCACACACTCAGTGCTATCAGTGAGTCTCTCCATGGTACACATACAGGGCACACACTCAGTGCTATCAGTGAGTCTCTCCATGGTACACATACATTGCACACACTCAGTGCTATCAGTGAGTGTCTCCATGGTACATGTACAGGGCACTCATTCAGTGCTATCAGTGAGTCTCTCCATGTACAGGATACAATTGGCAGCAAGTTGTCCTGGTTATTGGAGTGTCATACCTCCCAACAATTAGGAGGGGACAAGTGGAACAGAGGGACAGGATCCCCAAATCAGAACTGAGGGACAGGGCCCTAAATTGGGACTGTTGGGAGGCCTGGAGTGTACCTGTAAGGTGTTGCTGTCCAGTATACACAGGGAGCACAGCTTTAATATAAAACCCTTCCTGCACATGTCCTGCAGGCTTTACACTAAACCGTGCCAGGAAACCTGCGATCTGATGAATCAGTTTATTAACCCAAAGGACACAGCCAGGATATCACACACGTAATTCACAGGATATCGTGAGACAAACTGAATAATGTTAGCATCTGCAAGCTTTCTATAATATAATCTCATTATATAATCCCCTGCTATATAACTCTGGGTTATATAATCCTTGCTGATAACACCTGTTATCACCTGACACTCTCCACAGATTTCATAGCTCTTACCTGGGCTTTGTTCTCACATTCAATGCACTTTATTGTTATATATTAAAGGGTCACTGTGGCAAACCTAGCCACTTGTAATATTCTGGACTATGTGCATAAAAAGGTTGTCTGTACTAATCCCTCTAACTTCATGTATAACCTGGATTTACACTGTGTGTTACTGTATGTTTGCATAGAATTCGTATGCTAGCAGACGAAAGCCGCTAGCATTCATGTGTTTCGTTTCACGAACAGCAACCTTACGGGCTGTTCGTGAACCGAAAATGAGCTACCCCCTAATAGCCAACACATAGAGGGACGTGTGGCGCTCATTAACCGATTTCAACAGAGGCTTTCCTAGGTGGCCGTCGTTCGGCTACCGACCACGTGGCGGGCGGCCATCTTGGATCCTTTGTCTCACCAGCGGGGTTTGGTCGTCGAGCGCGTGGAACTGAAAACGGCTACTCAACGGCGCAAACCCTGCTGGACTTCCAGGCCGTTCAGGAGCTCCGATATTCCCCTATTACAGTTCCCCATCGGTGTTCGGTACTTTCAGACGAACTCATGGGCAAAGTGTATTTCGTGCGGCGTTCGATTGTTTTAGCTGGGATCTGAGCGGTATTCCCACGAAAGGTGCGCTCAGACCCCAGCTATCTACCGAATGTCCATTCGTTTAAATCACTCAAGTATTATAAAAGTTATACATTTTAATGTGAAATGCCGGTTCTGCTGCACGGAGGGATAATCCACTTAACGGTACATTCCAGTGGGAGTATCCCTCTTGTCCAGCCGTGCCTGATGGGAGAAAAGGTCTGAATGTTAAGTCCCCCATGTAGTCCCCTACTGTACAACCCCTGCCATGTCAGTAAGGAAACCCCTTGCATGGGGACTTGCATAAATACTGGATGCTGTGAATAAAAACCTCAGTTGACTCCCAGAACTGTGTTTCGTCCGGTTACTGGGGGATTTGGGACATTGCCTTACTTTTCAGTGCTTGACTGTGGATTACCTTCTTTACCAGCGGAGATCGTGGGATTTAATATTGCCGCTCCGCTACAGTCACTATAAGCACCGTTGCAAAGTTGGGGTGCCTTTGTTTTCAGACTTGTTATGACTCTAGATTGCCCTCTGTTGGTGAAACTAGAAAATCAATTGCCGATTGACGATACCTGCCTGGAAGGACAGAGCTGCAGCCTTGTCCGATGGTAGAGGTCCTAAGAAACGCCAGTCAAGCTTCGGCACCTGGGTCTGGCGCGCTCCAGAGTCCTTGGTAATAAAGAGAAGTCTGACCTCCGTCACAAGCAACAAAACAACATTAACTCAATGAAGCAGTTTTGTTGTATAGTCCAGTCATCGCAGTCTGAATGCTCAATTCTCTGCCATTTAGGAGTTAAATAACTTTGTTTATACAGCCCTAGCCACACCTCCCTGCATGTGACCTACACAGCCTTCCTACACACTTCCTGTGACAAGAGATCTAATGTTAAAACTTAATTTACTACACTGTGTATTTAGTTTAGAATTTATTTTCTCCTGCTCTGTTCATTGCCTGCAAGAGCCTGAATACATTGTATACAGATACAATGTACAGTGCTAGGTATACAGATACAGTGTGTACAGTGTTGGGTATACAGATACAATGCACAGTGCTAGGTATACAGATATAATGTGTTCAGTGCTGGGTATACAGATACAATGTACAGTGCTAGGTATACAGATACAGTGTGTGCAGTGTTGGGTATACAGATACAATGCACAGTGCTAGGTATACAGATATAATGTGTTCAGTTCTGGGTATACAGATACAATGTACAGTGTGGGTATACAGATACAATGTGTACAGTGCTGGGGATACAGATACAATGTACAGTACTGGGTATACAGATATAATGTGTTCAGTGCTGGGTATACAGATACAATGTACAGTGCTGGGTATACAGATACAGTGTGTACATTGCTGGGTATACAGATACAATGTACAGTACTGGGTATACAGATACAGAGTGTACAGTGCTAGGTATACAGATACAGTGTGTACAGTGCTGGGTATACAGATACAATGTGTACAGTTTGGGTATACAGACACAGCGTGTACAGTGCTGGGTATACAGATACAGCGTGTGCAGTGCTGGATATACAGACACAGTGTGCAGTGCTGGGTATACAGACACAGTGTGTATAGTGCTGGGTATACAGACACAGTGTGTGCAGTGCTGGGTATACAGATACAGTGTGTGCAGTGCTGGGTATACAGACACAGTGTGTGCAGTGCTGGGTATACAGACACAGTGTGCAGTGCTGGGTATACAGACACAGTGTGTACAGTGCTGGGTATACAGACACAGTGTGTGCAGTGCTGGGTATAGAGATACAGTGTGTGCAGTGCTGGGTATACAGAGTGTGTGCAGTGCTGGGTATACAGACACAGTATGCACTGCTGGGTATACAGACACAGTGTGTACAGTGCTGGGTATACAGACACAGTGTGTGCAGTGCTGGGTATACAGACACAGTGTGCAGTGCTGGGTATACAGACACAGTGTGTGCAGTGCTGGGTATACAGACACAGTGTGTGCAGTGCTGGGTATACAGATACAGTGTGTGCAGTGCTGGGTATACAGACACAGTGTGTGCAGTGCTGGGTATACAGACACAGTGTGTACAGTGCTGGGTATACAGACACAGTGTGTGCAGTGCTGGGTATACAGAGTGTGTGCAGTGCTGGGTATACAGACACAGTGTGCGGTGCTGGGTATACAGACACAGTGTGTGCAGTGCTGGGTATAGAGATACAGTGTGTGCAGTGCTGGGTATACAGATACAGTGTGTGCAGTGCTGGGTATACAGACACAGTGTGTGCAGTGCTGGGTATACAGACACAGTGTGTGCAGTGCTGGGTATACAGATACAGTGTGTACAGTGCTGGGTATACAGACACAGTGTGCAGTGCTGGGTATACAGAAACAATGTGTGCAGTGCTGGGTATACAGACACAGTGTGTGCAGTGCTGGGTATACAGACACAGTGTGCAGTGCAGGGTATTCAGACACAGTGTACAATGCTGGGTATACAGACACAGTGCGCAGTGCTGGGTATACAGACACAATGTGTACAGTGCTGGGTATACAGATACAGTGTGCAGTGCTGGGTATACATACACAGTGTGTGCAGTGCTGGGTATACAGACACAGTGTGTGCAGTGCTGGGTATACAGCTAGTGTGTGCAGTGCTGGGTATACAGATACAATGTGCAGTGCTGGGTATACAGACACAGTGCGCAGTGCTGGGTATACAGACACAATGTGTACAGTGCTGGGTATACAGATACAGTGTACAGTGCTGGGTATACAGATACAGTGTGCAGTGCTGGGTATACAGACACAGTGTGTGCAGTGCTGGGTATACAGACACAGTGTGTGCAGTGCTGGGTATACAGACACAGTGTGCAGTGCTGGGTATACAGATACAATGTGCAGTGCTGGGTATACAGACACAGTGTGCAGTGCTGGGTATACAGACACAGTGTGCAGTGCTGGGTATACAGACACAGTGTACAGTGCTGGGTATACAGACACAGTGTGCAGTGCTGGGTTTACAGATACAATTTGTGTACAGTGTGTGAATACAGGAGCAGGATGAGAGGAGGCTCTGTATATTGCACACTCCCAGGTCCTGCCAGCATCACAATACACACCCCCAGCTACACACCACCCCCACACACAGACACACAGTGACAGCTCAGCCAGTCAGAGATTGTCACAGGGACCCATCAAGGAAGGTGCCCCCGGGGACTGAGCTCTCTCCAGCCTGCTGCACCTGCCCTGCTGGTAGAACCGGATCCAGGGCTGGGTCACATTGCTCTCTGATGGATCAGCTGGGACTGGGAGCTTCCACTGCATAGACCAACCTACCTCCAGCTCACTGGGTCTGCTGCTACCTACCTCAACCTAGACCTTCACCTGCTCTGTGTGTCCCTTCTCTGTGGCTCCCCATTATCAGCTTCCTCTCAGAGACACCTCAATTATCAGCCCCCCAGTGGGTCCCCAATTATAAGCCCCCTCTCTGTGCAACTCCCCCATTCTCACCCTCACTGTTAACCTTCTCAGCTGTCATTCTCTCTGATTGACACCCAAAACCTTAGCTCTCTCACAGGGTACCCCTAATCCTCACCCCCTCCTTCCCAGGTCCAGGATAGACCCCTCACTAACCCCCCAACATGTCCAGGGACAGTGTCCAGATCCCAGATGACAGAGACTTTCAGAACTTCAAGAGTGAGTGCCACTCAGAGACTGGCTGGAATCAGACTTACAGCAAATCAGGGATCACTGTCTGGGTGCAGATCCTGGAGGAGGAGAGAGCCCTGCATAAGATCAAGGTAAGAATCAAGTCTCAATGCTACCCCTCATGCCATACCATTCCATACCAGACCATGCCATTCCATACCAGACCATGCCATACCATACCATACCCGCCATTCCATACCAGACCATGCCATACCATTCCATACCAGGCCATGCCATTCCATACCATACCATACCAGGCCATGTCATTCCATACCAGACCATGCCATACCAGACCATGCCATACCAGGCCATGCCTTTCCATACCATACCATACCATGCCATTCCATACCAGACCATGCCATACCATACCAGGCCATGCCATTCCATACCAGACCATGCCATACCATTCCATGCCATGCTATTCAATGCCATGCCTGCAATCCGGGTCCTTCCAGCTGGCATGGGTGGCGGTGGGGGGGAGGGGGGGAGAGCTACACACCAACCCAGTCAGTTTAGTCAAACCAGAATAAAGACACCATATATCAGTCACAAGACAAAGAGAATTCCTTGGCCACAGAGTTTACAATCTAATTGGAAACATTGTGTTATCTACCATTTTTATAAAACATATTTCACATAAAATCAAACAGCTGCCAGTTAATGAAAAGTTTGTAAGAAATGAATACTGAGAAAACTTGTATATGAATCCTATTTTCAGTCATTAACTCTTTATGGTCCAGAGAGCTGTGAAACACATTGCAGAGGAAATTAATTAATGAGTACACAAAGTAACTATAACCTGGATTAATTTTAGATGAATTCTGCAAAAAATGCTATTGTTTTTTAGACCTAGGCAAACTGCATCATTGTGTCTATAGAGACTGACCTATAAACAATGTATCATTATATCTGTGCAGACTGACCCATACAGACTGTATCATATCTGACCCATACAAACTGTATCATTATATCTGTATAGACTGACCTATACAGACTGTATCATTATATATGTACGGACTGACCCATACAGACTGTATCATTATATCTGTACGGACTGACACATACAGACTGTATCATTATATCTGTACAGACTGACCCATACAGACTGTATCATTATATCTGTGCAGACTGACCCATACAGACTGTATCATTATATCTGTACAGACTGACCCATACAGACTATCATTATATCTGTACGGACTGACCCATACAGACTGTATCATTATATCTGTACGGACTGACCCATACAGACTGTATCATTATATATGTACGGACTGACCCATACAGACTGTATCATTATATCTGTACGGACTGACCCATACAGACTGTATCATTATATATGTACGGACTGACCCATACAGACTGTATCATTATATCTGTGCAGACTGACCCATACAGACTGTATCATTATATATGTACGGACTGACCCATACAGACTGTATCATTATATCTGTACGGACTGACCCATACAGACTGTATCATTATATATGTACGGACTGACCTATACAGACTGTATCATTATATCTGTACGGACTGACCTATACAGACTGTATCATTATATCTGTACGGACTGACCCATACAGACTGTATCATTATATCTGTACAGACTGACCCATACAGACTGTATCATTATATCTGTACAGACTGACCCATACAGACTGTATCATTATATCTGTACGGACTGACCCATACAGACTGTATCATTATATCTGTACGGACTGACCCATACAGACTGTATCATTATATCTGTACGGACTGACCCATACAGACTGTATCATTATATCTGTACAGACTGACCTATACAGACTGTATCATTATATCTGTACAGACTGACCTATACAGAGTGTATCATTATATCTGTACAGACTCACCCATACAGACTGTATCATTATATCTCTACAGACTGACCTATACAGAATGTATCATTATATCTCTACAGACTGACCCATACAGACTGTATCATTATATCTGTAAGGACTGTCCTATACTGACTGTATCATTATATCTGTACAGACTGACCCATACAGACTGTATCATTATATCTGTACGGACTGACCCGTACAGACTGTATCATTATATCTGTACAGACTGACCTGTACAGACTGTATCATTATATCTGTACGGACTGACCCATACAGACTGTATCATTATATCTGTACGGACTGACCCATACAGACTGTATCATTATATCTGTACAGACTGACCCATACAGACTGTATCATTATATCTGTACCAACTGACCCATAAAGACTGTATCATTATATCTGTACAGACTGACCCATACAGACTGTATCATTATATCTGTACGGACTGACCTATACAGACTGTATCATTATATCTGTACGAACTGACCTATACAGACTGTATCATTATATCTGTACGGACTGACCCATACAGACTGTATCATTAAATCTGTACAGACTGACCCATACAGACTGTATCACTATATCTGTATAGACTGACCCATACAGACTGTATCATTATATCTGTATAGACTGACCTATACAGACTGTATCATTATATCTCTACAGACTGACCCATACAGACTCTATCATTATATCTGTACAGACTGACCCATACAGACTGTATCATTATATCTGTACAGACTGACCCATACAGACTGTATCATTATATCTGTACAGACTGACCCATACAGACTGTATCATTATATCTGTACGGACTGACCCATACAGACTGTATCATTATATCTGTACGGACTGACCCATACAGACTGTATCATTATATCTGTACGGACTGACCCATACAGACTGTATCATTATATCTGTACGGACTGACCCATACAGACTGTATCATTATATCTGTACAGACTGACCTATACAGACTGTATCATTATATCTGTACGGACTGACCCATACAGACTGTATCATTATATCTGCACGGACTGACCTGTACAGACTGTATCATTATATCTGTACGGACTGACCCATACAGACTGTATCATTATATCTGTACGGACTGACCTATACAGACTGTATCATTATATCTGTACAGACTGACCCATACAGACTGTATCATTATATCTGTACAGACTGACCTGTACAGACTGTATCATTATATCTGTACGGACTGACCCATACAGACTGTATCATTATATCT